CTTCCCTAACCCAGCTGTCATTGAGTAGCGAGTTGTTAAGTTTCCATGTATGGGTAGGCTTTTTGTTACTTCTGTTCTTGTTCAGGTCCAGCTTTAGTCCATGGTGCTCAGATTGGATACAAGGGATTATTTCAATCTTCTTATATCTGCTGAGGTTTGCTTTATGACCAACTATATGGCCTATTTTGGAGAAGGTTCCATGAGGTGCTGAAAAGAAGGTATACTCTTTTGAAATTGAGTGAAAAGTTCTGTAGACATCTATTAGGTCCATTTGATTTAGGAACTCTCTGAGTGCCATTATTCCCCTATCATCTCTCTAGATGATCTGACCCTTGATGAGAATGAAGTCTCCCACTATTAAGGTGTTGGGATCAATGTGTAATTTAAACTTTAATAATATTTCATTTACAAATGCAAGTGCTCTTTATTTGGGGCATAGATGCTCAGGATTGTGCTGTCCTCCTTTCGGATTTGTCTTTTGATAAGAATAAACTGCTCCTCCTCATCTTTTTTGATTAATTTTGGTTGAAAGTCTATTTTATTAGATATTAGGATAGCTTCCCCAGCTTGTTTTCTGTGTCCATTTGCTTGAAAAACATTTTCCAGCCCTTTACTCTGAGGTGGTGTTTATCTTTGTTGCAGAGATGTATTACTTGGATGCAGCAGAATGTTGGATCTTGTTCCTGCAAACATTCTGTTAGTCTGAGCGCTGAGTCCATTGATGTTGATAGTTAATAGTGACCAATGAATGCTAATTCCTTTTTTTTTGTGGAGTTGATAGTGTTACTATGATTCATTGCTTGTTTTCTTTTAATTTTTGTTGTGGAGTTATCTGTATCCTATATTTTCTTGATTGTATTTTTTTTCTGTTGGATTGGAGTTTTCCTTCTAGTATCTTCTGTAGGGCTGTTTTGCTATGTAGATATTGCTTAAATTTATTTTTGTCATGGAATATTTTGTTTTCGCCATCTATGTTGATTGAAAGCTTTGCTGGGTATAGTAGTCTGGGGTGGCATCTGTGGTTCCTTAGAATCTGCATAACACCTGCCTAGGCCTTTCTGGCTTTCATAGTTTCTGTTGAGAAGTCTGTGTGAATTTGATAGGTCCACCTTAATATGTTACTTGGCCTTTTTCCCTTGCTGCTTTTAATATCTTTTCTTTGTTCTGTATTGTTCTGTAGATTTAATGTTTTGACTCTGATATGACATGTGGAGTTTCTTTTCTGGTCTAGTCTACTTGGTGTTCTGTAGGCCTCTTGTAAGTTTATGGACATCTCTTTCTTTAAGTTGGGAGATTTTTCTTTTATGATTTTCTTGAAGATATTTTCTGGACCTTGGAGCCTGGAATCTTTCTTTTCATCAATTCCCATTATTCTTAGATTTTTGCCTTTGATTTCTCGGATGTTTTGTGTTTGGGACTTTACCAATTTTACTTTTTCTTTGAGAGAAGTGTCAGTTTCTTCACGTATATCTTCAGCACCGGAGAGTCTCTCTTCCTGCAAAGCTAACACAAGTTTTTAGTAGGTCATGTAAAAGCAAATTCCAAGGTGATCAGTGTCTGAGCCTATGTCATTCTGTGGTAATGAGCCAGGTAACTCCCTCTATAAATTCTGCAGTAACTAAATCTGTAGTTGCTCATTGAATCAAAGTTACATGTTGAAACACCCTCACTCATTTCAATAGAATAAACAAGCCAATGCTTTATCTCAAAAAGAATTCATAGAATGACCTAGTTTACAAGTGGCTGGTGTCGCATTTTCATCTAACACATATTAGTCAGGAATTGTATGGTTCCCAGACACAGGTGTGAAGTCTAAGCTATATGATTCCCTGTTTTGTCCACACATCTTGGCTGTGCATTGGCAGTTAAATCCTTGAACTTTCCGAGGAGAACAGATTTCTAAAGCAAGTCTATGGAGAATCAAGCATTATTCCAGAATAATTGATTCAGATTGTGTCTAATAAGGGACTTCCATAATAATTTTATACCCATGTAACAAGTAGAAAGGCACAATTATTTACTTTCATTTAAACTAAGCACTTGCAGATCTTGAACACTGTGGTGTGAGAAGTCTTAAATACAATATGCTTTCAGAAATCACTTACACTTTGAAGAATTTTTTATTATTATTTAATAGCCCCTGATTGTTACTTTTCAAAACACGTTTATGTTATTTTATCAGCAGGCAGTCACCATGGAACTCATTGTTGGGGAACTGATAGTGAGAAAGATACAGATGTTTCTCGCCCTCATGGAATTCATAGGGTAGCAACAAAGTCAAGAAATAATAAAATCATGAGGCTTTTTTTAAAGACTGATGGTGGTTTTCTGTATAGGAAAACTAACTCTTCAGAAGGGAAGCAATGAAGTTCAGCACAAAGGCGTGTGGCTGAATCTGCAGGATATTGAGTCAATGGGTGATTGGACACCCAAGAGCAGTAGTTAAGCCCTGAACATTTGAACCATGTTGGGCAGAGGTTGAAGAACAAGTGTTTGAATTACAAAAAAAATAGATCAGTTCTTGTAAGATATTACAAACTAGACTAGGAAACAGATTTTGCTGTAATTGTAATTATATTAATTTAATTACTTCAAAGAAAATGAGACTTGAAAAGAGAAGCCAATTGTGAGTACATGATATGCACAAATGAGGATCAAAGTTAACTTCCCAGAAGGCCTTTTGAAATATTGGGTATAGTACCATGTGCCTATAATCGCAGCATTCGGAGAGGCAAAGCAGGCTGATCCCTGGGACTTGTTGTCCTGCTACTCTGACCTACCTGAGAAGTTTTTATATGAAAAGTATGGTGGGTTGTGTCTAAGGAACCACACTGACTTCCATCCTCTACCAACACACACATATGTTTATACATACCCCTCTATATGTGCCACACACACACACACATGAATGATGATCAGAAGTTACAATGGAAAAAATAAAGGGAACAAGTAAGTATAAGATCGTATGTGCAAGAATTGAGCTGCTTACTGTGAAGCTCATGTGGAGTGCATAAGACTCAAAATTCATGAGTGTTTCTTCTAAGCAATGAATAACTTTCACTTTTACACTGTTTTAAATGTGCCCTGTGAAATTTCTGTAACACCCTGAGTCCTTCAAATCTGTAGGGTTACTCAGAATTCCTGGATAATCTCAGACTTCTTTGGGCCTAAATACCGGAGGCTAGGCACTGTTCTAAAAATACATTCCCTTTCTGTTTACTCTTTAGTAGAGCTAAGTAAATTACAGAATGTGTTATAAAAATTATCTTGGCAGGCTCTGTTTTGCGAGTATGAAATTGCTAGTTAAAGCATATTGGTGCAAAAACTGTAGGAGTCGATCATCTGTCCACACTGAAAAACAAAACAAAAGACAAATCTCAAGAGATGGATCAGTGGTTAAGAGCACTTGCTCTTACTAAAGAAAACAGAATATAACTAATGCATATCAGGAGGCAACAGTAGCCTTTAGGAAACCTGGTCACAAGTAGACAGCACCCATGGGAAGGTTGAAATTCCCTTTTGTGATAATCACTAGAGTAGGAAAGAGGTGAAGGAGGTGGGATGAGAGAAGTGAAACACAGATATAGGGAGTCTGTGTTGCTGTTCTTTAGCACAGCAGAATGAGTCTGAACTCATAAATAGAAGATATAATTCAGGTTATATAAGATTTCAAAGCTTTTCCAAAATATAAAAATAATGTTTGAAAAGATGGGAAATGTTGATTATTACAATGTGATCATTACACAGTGCCTACCTTGAACCAATTATCACATTCTACCCATAAATATGTGCAAATATCATGTCAGTGTGAAATTTGCAGTGAAAATTTGCTTTATAATCTCTGATCCAATATTGTAGATGGATTTCTCACATATTTACCTGTATTGTTTTAATATCTTTTATCATTTTATTTCAATAGTAATTCATCTTCACTGACAAAACTTATTGAGTACATGGGAGGGAAATAAAAAGTGAAGGTTACACACATTGCATAGAAAAAAAAAAACAAAAAAAACAATGTCCCAGTGAGTCAGAATAAAAAATGATAAACTTTAAGTGGGAAAATGAAAAAAGTTTCATAAGAAGATGTCACGGAGATTATGGATAAAAAGGAGCAAGGGCTGGGGAAATGAATCAAGGGTTGAAAATGAGTACTCCTTTTGCAGAGGAACTTCATGGGTTCTCAATCCCCAGAATCCATGTTGGGTTGCTCACACCAGGTTGTAACCACATCTAAGTTCTAGGGATCTGATATTTTCATCTGAGAACATCAGCAATCATATGCAAACACCATACCCTCAGACAAACACGTATAAAATTTAAAATATAATGAATATTTTAGAAAATGTAGAGAAAAAGACAGCTAGATCCATCCACTAAACACATTTAATGATCTTAGTGGAAAATGAGAAGAAACAATATTGTACATACTATTGCACAATAATACTGTACATTCCACTTACAAATGGATCAACTAGAGACCAAGATCTGATTTTGGGCTCAACTGGATCTACTTCTAAGTATAGCTCAGTATCATTTTATCACATTCTAGATAGACTGGTACACCAAAAATGCCAGTGATTAATACTAAGCAGTATTCAGTTGACTACTTATACCTACACTCTTTATTGTCTAACTTCCAATGTAAAAAGTCATAATAGTGAGCTTGGATGACACACTGGAACTCTTATTTGACAAACCTCACCCTGATGACTCAGCTGTGGAGCTCACATAAAAGCCATTTTGAAGATTAACAATCGGACTTGCATCTTGTTAATAAGACACCATTTCACGTAGACCTAAGCAAAGCACTAATAAGATGTTATCCTTCAAATTAGCTTAAACAATGAGGTGCAAAGGAGTCTTGAAAATAAAAGCCAACACCCAGCTTTCTGAGTACTATATAATGTCCCCAGCAAAGATCTAATGTCTACATCTTTAAACCTGACGTTTCATGCCTTGAGTCTTTTTAAGTGAGTTCAATTAAGGGTTTGGGGAATATGCCTCACAGCCACTGCCACTCATTCAGGAGCTTGGGGAAAGCCCCATCACTCACTTCCATAACACACAACTCTAATCCTAAAAGCTTTGAAGATGGAATTTTCTTGCCCAGCAGTTGTCACAGCAGAACCTGGCTCCTAGACAGCTTTCAAGAATCCTGCCATGAGACCTCCACCTGCCAACTGGCCAAATGGGAACAGCACCAGTGCAAAGTGGACCCCTGTGCACAAAGTTCCTGGAACTCCAGAGCTGACCAAGCAACTTGTTCTAGTTCCAAGACCTGTGAAAGAACAGTGTGCCAATCAGGAATCTCCCCAGCTGTGCCAGAGTGTGCTTCTCAACCCTGCCCATCAAGAAACTGCCAGCAAGTGGGCTTTGTAGCCCAGAGCTACCAACCTGCAAGCTACATGGCCAAGTGTTACCCGCTAAAGCCTACAGTGTCTGGGAGTTGCCAGCCTGTGGAGTCTGAATCCAGACAATGCTGCTCTCAGGTCCCTGAGTCCAGTTCCTGTAATTCCTTGAGCAACACTGTCTCTGGGCCACATCTGATGGAATCTCCTAGCACTTATGAGCCAACATGCTGTGTGACTGGTGGGTCACAGTTGCCTAGTAAGTGATGGATATGGTTGACTCGAATGGATTTCTGAATACTTGAAAACTTGGTTGCTCTAAATCTAATACAATGTAGTTTTGCTTAGGAACAAATGAGTATGTGTTTTTCTACTACTCATTCCAAAATCAAGAATTTCTTCTTTTCCTTTTGGGTTTTTCTGGTGGTAATCTGAGATCATAAAACATGCTAACCATTTTAGAACACTAGGACTCTATTTACTGTTCACCAGGGAATAACCATTGCTTCTAAAAAGACAGCTTTTCATTAGTAGCTAGTGTGTGTGAAATTATGTAGCAGAAGGTTTAGTTTATTTTTTAAAAAAATAATTTATTTAATATGCATTAAGAAAGGTGTCAGATCCCTTGGGATAGGTATTACAGACAGTTGTGAGCTGCCATGTGGGTGCTGGAGATTGAAATTCTGTCTGTCCTTTGAAGATACTCTTAACCACTGAGCCATCTCTCCAGCCCCTGAAGGTCTAATTTATTAACGAATGTGATTCTACCAGATAATCCATGAAATGCTGGAATTTATCCTGGAGCTCAAGGTGCCTTACAATTTCTAATAGGTTAAAGATGACCAGAAGTCAATAGGTACTCAATAGCACCAGAAATATAAATAAAATTGGATCTACTCTGTAAACGAATCAAGACACTTGTAAATAAGAGATGGCGTCTTTCACCTGAAAAGTACGAGGATTTTGAATTTCACCTCCATGGACTTCAGAGCAAGGCAGTACTTGTTGATCTTATAACAGATAACTCAAATTAGAAATTTCACTGTATTTTCACTGTTCTTCCTTTTCTCACCTTTATTTCCCAGTGATTTTGGAATGGAAAATGTTATTTTCCTTAAATAAAATAGACTTATCATAAATATGTTTGCTGTGTTATTGTTTTCTTCAACATTTTTGTGATGATTTTTAAAAGGTATGTGTGTGATTGTGTGTGTGTGTGTGTGTGTGTGTGTGTGTGTGTGTGTGTGTGTGTGCTGGAGTTTCAGATTTTGTGAGCTGCCTGGCTTTGGTGGGAGGCAAACACAGGAGTTAGGTCCTCTGGAAGGACAGCAATTATTCTTAAGTTCTGAGCCATGTCTCCAGGCCCCCTGCAGTGACATTAATATTAGAGTTTTGAAGTATGCTTCGATGTGACAAAAATAGTAGACATCTGAAAATTAAAAGAACGTGTTCCCTTACCATACTTTTTTAGGGAAGAAGCTAAAATATAGTATCACATTTTTGGTGTTTATCCAAAGAGAGTAAACACACTCAATTTAAGAACCATGGAAATATGGAATCAGAATATATTATGAAGATTTGAAATGTGATGAATTTACTTAAATATTGTAAATATTTATTTAAATATTTTAAATAGCTTAGCTATTTACAAGCTTTGCGGACAGCCTTAAATGGTTCTCTCATTTTGGAAGAAAATGAAAATTGGTTGTTAAGGACATGGGTTGTGAAATGAAAACAGGCTTCTAAAGTTGAAATCCTATGTCTATTGAAGGTTATTTGAACCCCAAATGGGCGATTAGGTCCAAGTTATTTAACTATTCTGCGATACAATATTGTGTTTTCAACTTTAAACTTGAGACTATAAGAATTCAGCACTGTGAGGATTAAAAGTCAGTATACACAATGTTCTCAATACATCATTTTGTGTATAGCTGATTTCGGTAAGATGCAGCAAGCAGCCGTGCTTCAAGACACTGCAGGCTGCAGGTAAAGTAGATGTGTAAACAAACCCAGGGATCTATGACAAATGCAGGAAGATAATCATTCCGTGAAGAAAAAGGAGCTACTTTTGAACTTTATTAATGGAAAAAAAAATCAGAACTGCATGTAGCAAGGGGAAGTGAGGCTGAAGAGATGTAGCTGTCCAAAGCCCGTGCTGCTTTTGCAGAGGACTGACATTCAGTCCCTTAGGAGCCTCTGTAGCTCCAGTGAATGTGGTGCACATTTCTGGTGTCTGAGGGTGCCAGGCATGTAAACAGTAATGTGAACAAAACACCCATATAGAAATGAATGATAGCTATTATTATTATTATTATTATTATTATAACAACAACACCCCTACACACTGTACCTAGCTGCAGCTGCTACAGTTCGCTAGCTAGCATGGTCAGTATACGCGTGAGAGTTTTGGAAATTCCATGTGTTAGTCTGACTCTGCCAAGCAGAACCTACATGGAATGTCATTTCAGGATGACTGTGAGAGTTTTCTGATAACACAGGAATTAACATCAAGGGACCTAGTAAGTGATCCTTCTCAGAAAAGGTGCTCATTATAAGCCCCCCAAAGACCAGAACATAAGAAAATATGTAGGAAGAAAGCATTTCCTACATGCTTCTTACTTTTATATCGAGCTGGGACATCAGTTTTCACTCAGCTTTAGGCTGTGGTTTATACATTCAGCTCCCATGGTGCCCAGGCCTTCATACTTACATTAAAATGACCATTGGCTGTGACATGAAGGAGCTCTGTGAGATTTACATCTTCCTAAATAAATTATAGTATAAAAATAAAAGTTTCTTCTGTTCTTTTTAATAATGCTAATTAATATTGAGACAAATAAAAAGTATTCAACTTAAATTCTTTAAATCCACTTTTCTTAGAAATAGTCCGTGTTCCCCTTACTTTGGAAAACTACTTGGTTACTGAGCTACCACAGGCCACATCCGAGCAGAAGTTCTAGGTTATATCCATAGATGGTCCTTGGTTGGAAAGGGGCAGGGAGGAGACCAGGGAGGGAGTGTGGGGTTGGGGAGGGAATGAGGGAGCAGGATACAGCTGGGACACAGAGTTAACAAAATGTAACTAAAAAGAAAAATAAAATAAAAAAAAAAAGAAAAAAAATCCACTTTTCTTTGAAAGGTGTGGCTTGAAGGACTCTTAGGGACATCTGAGTGAGGGAGGCTAAGCAGTATTGGGTTTTAGCAGTGGAAGCACTCCTTGTGGACATAGAGAAATATTCCTGAAGCTAGATGTTGTTTTATAGTATCTGGCCACAGCTATAGTGTGCTAGCAACATAGCTTAGGCAACAGTATTCTCATGACAATCTCTCAGGATCTCAATCCAGTCAACACATGATCATGAATGAAATTTATTCACAATGAAGATCAAAGTTCAGGTGGCCCACTTGCGACAAATCAAATTCATTTGACTGTTCTTTATTGCATGAATCTTCCACATATAATCCACATATATGGATATAACTTATATAAAAGAATGGGCCTTATTTAATAATGATTTTATATGGTTAGGGAGGAGCGGGAGGATTAAAAACCCATAAGTGAGGAACGACTGTTAAACAAGATCTTTTTTTTTTCATGTCTATCCTATTTATCATTAACCATTCATTCTCTCTCAGTTGACCTTGGTCACTTCACAAATAAGTTATCTGAAGAATGGGCTCGTCCATGGTATAACCCAACATGAAACACATGTAAGCCCTTTAAAGGGATGAATCTTGTGACCTCAAACACAAGACTTTTGACATTTGAGTAGGAAATGGTATGATTGCAGGAAGAGACCTTGGAGGGAAATTTACCATAAGGAGAAGATCATGAAACCGGTTATGACTAGATCTTGCTCAATTTCAAATTCTGTCAATTACTAGCCATGTGCCTTGGGACAATTTGACATTTCAGAGACTCTGTTCTTCCACTGTAAGGTGGAGGAAATGGTGCCTAATGTAGGAGATGATTGTGACAGCTCAATGATAAAGTGCCAATTAAATGCTTAGTGGAGTGTTTAACACGTGGCAAGTGTGCAGTACACGCCAGGTATCATTTGACGCTTCATTTGCTATCTGCCTCCTCGGGCTCAACCTTGGTTTATGATTGAGTGTTCTGCACTGAAAACACAGGGAAAAGACCAAGGAAAGCATTCCATAGCCTGGGAAAGAACTGAGGAAGTGTGATCCATCCTAAGTAATCCACGAAGACCTCACATTCTATATATTTCAGAACGGATTCTATAAGTCAAACAACTCCTTTTTTTCTAAACAGAAACCATAGTAGGATCTAGACGTTATTATGTCAAAGCCATTAAAAGATAGGCATCTTAAGTATATGATTTTCTGTTTAAATGCAAATATAGAAAATATCAGGAACATTAGTTTGCCTATATAGTAATGTTCCATGAATCATACAAGCCAAGCTGTTAGGACACATTCATTTAATATTTATCAAACATTCAGTACATGTCTTACCATTTTTAATAACTGAATGGATCAATCACTATTTTATTACCACATTTTCCAGTAAAGATCAAGGCTAATATAAATGGAGTTGTAATAAGTATACAACAGAGATGTTTTAATCACATATATTTTGTTTCAAAGTACAGATTATATCAGAACACTAGGCATCATAGTAATTTCAAGTATAAGTATATATATATATATATATATATATATATATATATATATATATATATACTGTATATAAGGTGAATACAAATAATTTAATTGAAAATGATCAGTTTGGCTAATCACTAGGAAGATACAAAAAGGAATTTCAGACCACTAAATATTATTATATGATACATGCCAGGTAAGATACGTATATGTCAGGAGTTCAGAATTCTGTACAATAAAAGAGGGTTTTAAGCCTAAATATAAAAAATTTCATCTTTCCAGTGCATTTAGCCTCCCAGTTTATCTAAATAAAGTTTATTTTGGGGAAGTCCAAGATGGTGGCTACCAGTGCACACTGTATCTGAAGGGCACAGGAACCCAAACTCTGAAATTGGTGAGTGGAGGGCATCTGAAACCAGAACATCGACATTGAGGCGTCCTGGGTGAGAAGAGAAAACCTGTGAGCTGGGACAGTTTGGATCCAGGTCACCCAAAATTATCTGAAGTTATCTCCAGGGACTGAGAGAGGTGAATATTCAATGCCCCTGCACTTCCCCTTGCCCCAAGCACAGGCCTTCCTTCTAGTTACAGGTGGTTGGCAGTGGCTGCTGCTCTGAGCATGGGCCTCCTACTCCTCAGAG